GCTGGAATTTAGCACAATTATCAACACCAATGATGCCCTCATTCTCACAAATTTTTAGTCAGTTACAATATTGTTATTGCAACAGTTATACACATTCATTTAGTATTGCTAAAAAGCCCCGTTTTAGCTTAATTGCTAATCCATCTTGATTTCTAAAAAACAAAATGCTCTAAGATGTCCAGTTTACCGATTATCTATAAAATTTAATTTGAAAATTATACAAAAAAATACTGAATTATGGGCTTTTCCCATAGTTTAGAAAAAAATAACGCAGATTTTTCTGTATCTTTTTATGTCTTTGTCATTAGAAAGACATATAAAACTTTCAGATATATGCTAAACGAAATACCTATTTTTTTTTTATCTGTGGCCTGGGCTATATTGAAAGCGAAGAGAAATCGTGACTACATTTCTTTAAACTTTTCGCCTTAAAACTACTCAAGAAATCGCCCTTTGAGGTTCTGCTATAACCTTTATCATCACCCTCAAGACATCAATTGTGACTCTGATGAAATTTAGATGAGACTAGTAGTAGTATGACTGCCCTTACCTAATATCTGAATGACACTGGTAAAACGTAAAACGTAAGACTTGTTGAGTTTGAAGCCTTGTAATATAGTGTAAGACACAAAGCCAAAAATAATATACTGAAAATGTGAAGATATATAATTGGATACAGGAACACGTACAGCATTTCATTTGTCGACACTTGTGTCATAGCCACCAAATAGCAAGATGATTCAAAAACTCACCTTTTCAGGCATTTACACTCACTAGATTGATGTTTCCTAATTTTCTGAACATAATGACACGTTATATTATGCTACCTAGCACGCACGATTGAGGCAGCCTAACCGTATAAATAAACCGATAACACTGATCGTTAGGACAAAAAGCAAACCTCAGTTCTTTTTTTTGCAGAAGTAACAAAAAGCCTAGTCGTCGTTGAATGAATGAAGGCTGGCACGTTGCCATTTAGAGGCGGAAATTCACATCATATTGTTTTCACTGCAGTAAATAGCAAAGTTCAGATTATGGCGGTTTTCTTCGTTTTGACTGCGATTTATCTTCATACCTATCCGCGCGGGAAGTTGTTTCGCAATCAGGTGCATTTTTTTTTTGGATTCGCGGTACTTTCGCTACGTCACCAAGTGAAAAATAATCAAAATGGAGCAAATTATTGAATTAGTTTGGAAATTCCCTAAATCATATTTTGATCTTTCCCATGAAGACTATAAAAATGTTCGCAAAAAGGATAATGTTTGCTCTAAAATAGGAAAAGAACTAGACGAAAATGGTAATGTGAAAAGAAAGTTGAAACTCGTTACATTATTTATTTAAGACAATAATAATCATAATTATTCTAGTAACAATCCTAACACATACACAGTGATTCAAGTACATGGCCAAACTTCAGGAGGCGATTTGACTAATTTGAAAAGCCTCTCCACACTCACGCGATAATCTAGCGAGAAAGCGAGAATAGCATGAGAAATGTGAATGTGGAACCGATTTTCATAATCTTTGCAGGTTCTTGGCTTGTTATCCGATTTTGGTCTGTTTTTGCCCGGAACAAAAGAGCTGAGTACGCGAGAACAGACGAGAACTTGTATTGACTCCACACTCGCATGTTTCTGAATGGCAGGTGACTCGCCGATTAGAACAGTTGTGGATGGTATTTACTACTGGGCATCAGTATGAGCCGGATTTGAACGAACGAACTAGAACTGTCATACTTAGTATATTTTCAAGCAGAACCGATTTTGTGGAATACAAATTTGAAACAATATAAAAAAAAAACAAAAATCCCACGATGCGTGGAAACGTATTAGTACCTTGATGGAATTACCCATTGAAGAATTAAAAAGCAAAAAAAAATCGTTATTAGCTAGCTACAGAGGGTATAAAAATAACTCCTCGGTTGGCCGCGTGGGTCAGAGTGTCGTGCTACTGATCAGCCGGCCGGCCGGGCCGCGAGTTCGAATCTCGCCTTCGCCATGGATGTTGTGTGTTTGTTTTAGGCATCAGCGGTGGCCGCAGTAGTAGACTCTTCGGTCTCCTGATCAGTCACCGTGCGCTGTGCGGGTTCGAGTCCCGTCCCAGGAGAAATTTTTCTCTTGGCTATGGATGTTGTGATTGTCCGTAGGTGGTAGATGGTCTCTGACTGTCGAACGCGGAGGTACCACCCGGCGGTTCTCGTAGGCGGAGCCAGAATGTGTGCATGTTGCATGCACACGTGTTCCCTCGCCAGAGTCCCTGTGGCGTCCCCCCTTTTCCCATGTATCCCCCTATAGCCCCACGGTACCCAATGGGTGCTTAGGCCTTAGGCCTTCGTGGTAGTTGGAGTATAAAAAAAAAATAAAGTCAAGAAATCGGGAAAATCTGGTGCCGGTGTCGACGGCATTTAATCTGCGTCCATCGTCATCGGGCACGAGAACTGCGTTGAGAACTTTGCCGAGATTATTCTTCATTTTCAAAAAACTTTTTTAAAAATATTGGTTTTTCCTAAATAATGAAATGAAATGAAATGAAATGAAATGTTTATTATTCTTAGCCCTAAAGCTACTTCCTATAGTTTATAATAGTGTCTTACTCCAGTAATAAACAAAGAAACAGTAATTCTAGATTCCCTTAAAATCACAGTAACTGCAACCACAGTAAATGCAATAACAGCAAATGCGAGATAATGACATACAGTTATCTTAACACAGAAAGTACATATATTATGCCATTTTATCTAGATACAATTGCTTAACCTTACGAATAAATATATTTATAGACGTCGCTTCTCTAATTTCTGTAGGTAATGCATTAAAAAGTCTCAAACCATCACTAAAAAGACATTTTTGCATATGGGATGTTCTAGCGAATTCTATGTCAAACGTGTTACGTGACCTGATATTATATGCATGCCTCTCGGACCTCGGTATTAGATATTCCTGCAAGTATTCAGGCAATAAATGATTTTTTGTTTTAAAAATAAATAAGACATTAAACATTTCAACCTTTTGCTGTATTGAAAGCCCTCCGAGGGTTTTTAACATTAAATTAATAGGCGTATAACGTGTACAAAATAATATAGTGCGCATAGCCTTATTTTGTAGTAACTGGAGCCTTTGAATATCAGTTTTTTTGCATGATAGCAACAATGAAAAACAATCATTAAAATGTGGATATATGATGGCATTATATACAAGAAGACGACTCCAGTGACTAAGACTTTTAGATATTCGCCTAAAAAATCCTATTTTTTTCCCAATTTTTTTACTAACATAATCAACATGCAATGAAAAATTTAGCTGAGGATCTAAAACTACGCCCAAATACTTCATACTAGATGCACTTTCAATTTGAATATTATCTATCTCAATACAAAATTTCTTTTCTAAAAATGTATTATAGTTCTGCTTTGTCCCAAAAACCATGTATTTTGTTTTTTCTACATTCAATTTAAGTCTATTCACACATAACCAGTTATACAGAATTTCCAGTATTGAGTTCATAGTATCTACAACTTGTCTAAAATCCTTACCGTACGCATAAAGCAATGTATCGTCTGCAAATAAGCTCAGAAATGTATTTACTAAAACCCTGTTCAAGTCATTTATATAAAGTAGGAACAAAAGCGGGCCCAACACACTACCCTGAGGTACCCCAATTTCACTATCAATTGAATTTGATGCCACGTTGTTAATCTTCGTCACATGACAACGGTCTTTCAAGTAGTCCATAAACCATTTTAGTGCACTGTCTGTAATCCCATACGTCTGCAATTTCTGGATCAGTCTTTTCCTATCAATAGTCTCAAATGCACGTTGAAGGTCGATGAATACACTTAACACAATATTCCCGTCATGAATGTATGAACGCCATTTCGAACAGACATACTGCAGCGCCGACTCGCACGAGTGTTTTTCCCGAAATCCCGACTGTCCCTTGAACAACAGTTTTCTTGCCTCCAGAAACTCCCGTAACTGCGCACAAACCACGGTTTCCAAGATTTTGTCTATCACTGATAACAAGTTAATAGGTCGGTATTGTGCTGGTTTATTTGGTGTGGACACTTTTGGAAAAGGGCACTATAACACTAGTTTTTATTGCTTTTGGAACTTTTCCTGTTGTAAGGGATGCATTGATCAAGTGAAGCAAAGGGTATCCGAGTACACAAAAAGCCGTTTTCAAAACTTAACATTACAAATATCATCCGCTGTTGACTTGTTTTTAAGTTCCATTACCCTTTTTCTAAGTTGATCAATGCTTATAGTGTTGAAGCTTGACAGACCATCACTTAACTGTGGCAATTCTTGAAATGTCGGTGCAATTTTTGTATTTTGTCGGCTATTTCATTTATGCTTTTTGCATAAAGATTGTTAAAATTTTCTTGAACAGATCCAGCATCTTCCTCAAATTCAATATTATCATATGACAGAACATTCTTGTTTTTGCTGCCTACAACTTGCTTTAAAGTTTGCCACATTTTTTTGCTATCCCCCTTGCATTGGTCAATAGTAATTTCATAATATTTTTTCTTTTCGTTTCGAATAACACGAGCGTAAATGTTCCTTTTTTTCTTATACAGATTCCAGTCTGAATTTAATTTGGTTATTTTAAACTTTTTATAAGCTTCGTCCCTGTCTCTTCGGGCTTGGATTCCAAACCTATTAATCCACGGTTGTTTGCGGGTTTGAGTTTTTTCAAGAGGTACAACTTTATTTACAGTTTCTGTAATATTTTTCATAAACTTTTCATATAATAGGTCCACATCTGTTGTTGAATAGTCAAAATCATTTTCCGTAGAGTTCAGCTATAATAGTGTTAATATTTTCCTTATTAAATTTTCGTTTATATTTCATTTCCTCTGTTTTAACCTCATGTTGCACATCCAATACGCAGTCTATAATTCGATGATCTGAAATTTGTGGAAAATCACCCGTGATTTCTTCAAGCAAGTAATTGTTAGTCACAATTAAATCAATCAGGGTGGCTGACGTATTTGTCACTCATACCTCCAATAGCACATTAAAATGTTCCTTCCTACGAGGCTTATATTTCCTAACAAACGTTATTTCGCTTGTACCACACATGCCTTTCAATTTGTTTATAAATATATCAATCTCCCTCAGGTATTTATCATAAACACCAACAATAACAATTGTTGGTTTTTTAAACTCTGGTATCTGAATCTCGTTCCGGGCAGCCTCGTGTAGTTTTTGCATCGACTCGTCGTTTTCACATTCTATCTGAATCCCACCGTTAGCCGTATTTCTGACTCCGGCTATATTTATTTGGGGTGGATCGACTTTGTTGGTCACATCTAACTTGGTTTTCACGCTGTTCTGTGACGAATTTTTTGGTTTAATTATCAAAGGCGGTCGTTTGGCTTTTACTACGTCACTCCACTTCTGCACGCTGACATTGGGTGCTCTATCGTATAATGTCTTAACGACGCCGAAACACTCCTTGGTTTGTTCTAACACATCGTTGGTTTTTTGCTCAATACTGTCCAATCTCCTCGATATTTTTAGGTTTTGTATAGCATTATTACTACAGTCATTACAGAACCAAAACAAATTCATACAATCGGCAATACACTTACTGACATTATCTTTTACTTTAACACACACATTATGGAAAAAATTTTCACATAACTTACACTGAATTTGTTTACTGTTTACTGTAAAATTATCCGTGCACACGGAACACGTCCGCACACCACTCATGCTGACTACTGACTGATAGCTTGATACACTTTCAGCCGATTTTGTTTATATTTAGCAGTGGTATTAAGGGCAGTAAGGGGCTAATTCAGCTTCAATTAGATTGAAATTATTAAGTCCAGTGGCGTCATGGAAGACGACCAATATCTTTGACAAAAAATTTTGTCTCCTGCGTTTCTTTCATATCTCGCTTCATTTGCAAGATAAAAAATAACAAGCGCTTTCTATCTACTACTGTGACATAAGCTCTTTTTAATTAGGAATTATTTTCTACTTTTTAGTTCGTCTTACGAAACATTTCGTAATCTAATGATTTCATTTAAAGCTTCACTGTTGCATGGGAGTTTTCCTGCAGTCAAGTTCTTCAATCCGAATACCGTCTAACGATCTTACAGGATTAAGTGCTACATAAGCTTGTCCAGCAACAAACAGTCGCGAGCCTAGATACGACAGTAGAACCTCGCATCTTGTGGACGATCGATGCCCAACTCAGGATTAATGGCAACATTCGCAATAAACAAGGGGAGAATGCACTACCTTGAAAAAGTATCTGCCTCCGATGTGCTGTGCCGAATGCCCCAAGCAACCAAGAGTAGGTCCAAAACTGCACGCGTCGAAACTCAGGATTAAGGGCAACATTCGTCTCTCAGCAGTTCCATGGTTGTATTTCGCTGGGAACTGTATCGATATCGGTTTAATCATGTGCACACCACCTCAACCGGGACCGATACTGTGAGGATTAAACCCACGACCACTGGTTTACAAGACTGAGCTACAGAGGCTTGTACTTTCAGTATTCGTAAAGCGGCATTTGAAATTGGTAGCTTTTTATTAAATTTTACTTATGAATAAGTAAGATAATAAAAGCGTGTTAAAAAGACACTGTACACTTGCATCAGGGAACTAATTGCTCGTTCCACTTCTCGGTCAGTTTTCCTAGAAGAACATGAATCCTCTGAATTTTCGTTGTCCAAAGTCTGCGCATTGCGAGCGTTCACCACTTCCCATATCAGGTACTAAATTCAACCTCTCTCACCCTCGTGTTGGAGCAAGTCTGCATGTGAGCGACATATAAATTAAAAGTAAATTAATTTCTGATAGATATGAATGAATGAGAGTGCTGGTAGCAGCTTCGGTTCGGTATCCCATAAAAACACGTGTTTACGGCTTGGTGCTTCTCTAATGGGAAGCTGAATGCCGGCACCACTTAAGTATGGAAATGCCACAGTAGAATGTATCTGGCATGTTTCGTCGAGTATGTATTTCAATAAACGTAAAGTACATTAAGGGAAACCACTTTATTATGAGTTCGGTGATAGTTAATGACGTTTACACTTAGTTGCAGGGAATTTAGATAAATCTAGAGGGGGTGGTTGGCGTGAAGCCCTTGTGTTAGCCGGGGTGGGATGCCACATAATGCCCTAGGATTCATTAATCAAGGGATGTGACACGATATCTCAATGGTAGATGTTAACAGCGCGATATTGCGCCTGCTACTAGCGGATGATGCACTTTGCCGGTACACCATGTCATGTTGCCCACAAATTTGACAGCTCAGATCGTAAAGTTTTAGTATCGATCAGAGGCGTATTACCTCAGACCTGAGTAGCATTCTAATATTCTATAAGGAGTACCTATGATCCTTTAGGCCATTTCACGCAAAGCGTAACAGCGGTCGTCACTAAAATACAAAGGTTACTATAAAAGCTTTGTAATATGACTTTACAAACGGATGCATGTTACTGCATGTTGAGACATGTCCATGAGTGCATGGTAGCCGCCGGAACCATGCCTGTTGATTTAGTTGTTCATTCATATTGGCAGTGTAAGGTGCGGATTATGGCATCGCGGCCACCTAGTGAGATACGGTATAACTTTACGCGTGGTTTAAGCATAGACCAGTGCTTGGAAGAAATGACGCTTGCATTAAAGAATGATTGCTCTCATCGTACGGCTATATTCAGGTGGTACAGAGAATTCCAAAGGGCGGCAATTTCACTCTGTAGGACGCTGAGGGCGAATAAATTTATTAAAAATTACTACAAAACCGAGACGATGAAACTATAGCATAGTACAGGAGAATGAATAGAGAAGTAGAACAGCAAGTAATAAGAAAAATAACGCATGGGACACCAAATGTGCGTATATTGACAGCCAAATAGGAGGCACAAGAAGTTCAGAAGCTTGGGAGACAATAAAGTCAATAAGAACAACAAACAAAACAAACACCATGCTGAACAACATATCGGACGAACAATGGTTACAACACTTCCGAGAACTACTCACCGAGACAAGAACAAATTCCATTGGCGAAGAATAATATATTGATTTAGAAGGAAACATCCAGCTAACTATAGAGCAAGTAACAAAAGCAGTTAAAAGGACAAAACTAAAAAAAAACTGGTCCTGGTGGGATATATGCTGAGTTGATCAAGTACGGTCTATCAAAATTGTTAGAAATGCTTGAAAGATCTTGTTGTGGACTTCGCGTGTGATTTTTTTCCCTCTACATCTTCGCTTCCTCAGGTTAAACCCGTATCCGGATGTATGAGCATGTGTATCTACTTTTGTAGTTGCATATGTGCACTTCTTTCGGGCCTGATGAAGCCAACCAGCAGAAATACGTATCGCTCGGGTTACCTATCCTATTTTCTGCTTGAATCCACTTTCCTTCTTGTTGCGGATTTTGCCCGTTATTTTCTTATTTTTTTGTTATATATATATATATATATATAATAATATCCTAAGCGGCTTTGGACAACTATTGATGAGATTACTGGGAAAACAAAATTTAAAGAGTGTGTCACTGAGTTAAATACAACATCGGAAACAGTATTAAAAAATACTCAACAGATATGCGATGAATTTGTACAATTCTTTACTGACATAGGCGAAAATTTAGCAAGTAATATACAAGCAAATGTACAAAATACTCAGCCTCCAAAAAGAACTTTGAACTCATTTATTTTGGATAAAGTCGAGCAATGTGAAGTATACACCACTGTTATGTCCTTAAAAAATCGGAAAAGTCCTGGGTTCGATGATATTAAAAGCGAGCATTTGAAAATTATAGCCGAGGACATAACAGAACCACTCACTTACCTAATCAACAAATGCTTTGAATCTGGCATATATCCCTCAATTTTAAAAAAAGGTAATATAATACCGATACATAAATCAGGAACAAAAACAGATGTTAACAACTATAGACCAATATCAATAATATCCAGTGTAGCAAAGGTTTTTGAAAAAGTTTTATCTACTAGAATGATTCGATACCTCACAAAATTCAAAATTTTAAATGAAAATCAATATGGATTTACTGAAGGGAAGGCTACATCGAACGCAATAACTAAAATTGTAAATCAAATACATCAAAATATTGATAACAGAATCCCTTCAATCTGCATTTTTGTTGATTTAAAGAAAGCTTTCTACACAGTTAATCACAAATTATTATTAGAAGCATTGGAGAGAATTGGTTTCAGAGGAAACGCGTACTCACTGATCGAAAGTTATTTGTCAAATCGCCCACAATCTGTGCAGATATCAGGATCATTTAGTTAAGAAATGTATATTAAGTGTGGTGTCCCACAAGGAACTGTCTTAGGTCCGCTGTTATTCAATATATATTTAAATGATATTTTCCAAATTAATTGTGTTGGCAAAATAACTAGTTTCGCAGATCATACTGCAATATTATATGAAGGCACTGACTGGTCTGATCTGAAAAATGTAATTGAAAATGATTTTATCAAAATTATTCGGTGGTTTAACAGTAGAAAATTAAGCTTTAACTACTCTAAAACACATTTTTTACCATTTGGATCTTATGCTAGACATCTGCCAAATTACACAAATTTCTCCTTCAATATTAATGATCAAAAAATGCAAATTAATAGAGTGCCCAACATAAAATACCTTGGAGTGGTCTTGGATCCTCACTTACGATGGGAGATCCATGTCAATTATATTTTAAAGATAGTTAGGTTTGTATCCTACAAAATTAAATACCTTGGGAATATATTGACAGAAAAATATCTTCGAACATTATACCATGCACTGATTGAGCCTCATCTCACATATGGTATATTAGCATGGGGAGCTGCATGTTCCTCACATATCTATAATTTAGATGTTTTTCAAAAAAGTATTCCAAAAATTGTATTTAAATAACCGAAACTTTATCCCACTGAAAAATTATACGCGGATGTTCGAATGTATGATATAAGACAGCTTTATTTCGTACACAGTATCACTCACTACCATAAATTTGTAAACACAGACCAAAAAATTAAACATAATCATTATACCAGGTACAAAATTCGTGGCACAGTAGTTCCTCAACCGCATAAATGCAGCGATCATATCTCTATTTAGCGCCTAAATTTTATGAAATTATACATAAAGACTTAAAAGATTTACGTTTCGGAAATTGTTTCAAAAGAAATTTAAAAAAGTGGCTACATTCTATATCTAGGACTGAAATTCATAAACTCATAAATACGAACATCAACTAAATACATAATCTAATGTAGCTAATTTTTGTCCTTTTTTGTCATTTGCATTCTACAGTTTCAACTTAAATTATTGATCCATGTACAGGCGATGCCTTCTATTGGGCCTGTTTTGATTTTATATTTATTTACTCATATTGTTTGTTATCTTTGTACATTGAATGAATAAATATTATTATTATTATTCTATATAAATATAAATATTTACTGGATGTTTGTTAAAGAATAAGAATTCTGTAGTTTTATGTCCTGAAATAATTTATCAAACAGAATGTTATACAGTCACAGTGCGGCATTGCTATTTTCAATAAGATGCTCATATAATTGCTGTCATATCAATCT